TAATAATTACTATTTTTAAAAAATATGTTTTCATTTATTTCAGAGAGCAGAAGGAAGAGGGAGAGAAGAATAGAAACATTACTGATGAGAGAGAATAATTGATCTACTGCCTTCTTTATGTTCCCTACTGAGGATCGAACCCACAACCCCAGCATGTGCCCCCACTGGGAATTAAACCATGACCTGATTTATGGGTCCACTTTAAGCCACTGAGCAATGGCTTTAATAATTATTAATGCCTGGCCAATCCTGTTTCCTCTACACCTCACCCACTTCTATATTACTATTTTTTTTTAATTTTTTAAAAACATATTTTATTGATTTTCCACAGAGAGGAAGGAAGAGGGATAGAGAGCTTAGAAACTTCGATGAGAGAGAAACATTGACCAGCTATCTCCTGCACACCCCCTGCTGGGGATGTGCCCGCAATCAATGTACATGCCCTTGACCGGAATCAAACCTCGTACCCTTCAGTCCGCAGACTGACGCTCTATCCACTGAGCCAAACCGGTTTTGGCTACTATTTTCTTTTTTAAACAAATTGAGGTAATAGTCACATAACATAAAATTAAGCATTTTAAAGCATACAATTCAGCAACATTTAGTACATTCACAATGTTGTACAACCACCACCTCTGTCTAGTTTCAAAACATTTCCATCTCCCCAAAGTAAAACTGTACACACATTAACAGTCACTCCCATCCCCAGCCCCTGGCAACCACTAATCTGCTTGCTGTCTCTATGGATTTTGTTTTCTGGGTATTTCATAGGTGTGTCATTTTGAGTCTGCTTTCACTTGGCACAATGTTTTCAAGGTTCAGCCATGTCATTGCTTCATATAATTCATTTTGCCAATATATTGTAATTTTTCTATCTAGACTTTTGCCATCAACAGATTGTTTTGGATTGTTTACACATTTTTTGCTATTGTAAATAGTTCTGCTATGAACATGAATGTATGTGGATTAGTTTAAGTGCCTGCTCTCAATTCTTTGTGGTATATTCCTAGAATTGCTGGGTGTTTTAAAGGTATCCAGAATTTGTTATAATCAGGCATGCAGACGTGAAAACCCCTGTTATGAAGGAAGACGTTTATAATCATAAATCCCTAGAAACGGGGTACAGCACGTTATACAGGGCCACATGAGGAAGCACCAGAGTTGGTCAGGAGGCACAGGGATTTGAGGAAAGTGTGGGCCAGAGCCTTTATTAGGCTTTCTGTGGAATAGGAAAGGCAGCATATTCGGTGTTAGAATTGGCAAGGTTGTCCTAGTTGGGTGGCATCTGGCCATGGGGTGATTAGGGCAGCGGAATAGTGGCTTGGAATTGAGAGCCCATAATGGAGGTGGTTGTTATGTGGGTCCTGGGTTGATTTGTTTGCATGTGAAAGGCCCAGTGAGTTGTTATTTTTAGGAATTAGCTAACCCTGGGGCGCGGGTGAGGGGGGTGGGGTGAGGAGGTCTCACAAATGTCAGCAAGGTCCCAGTGTTAAATCATCAAAATACAAAAAATAAAAAGACGTGCTTAATTGGAGAAAGATAAATACCACATGTTCTCACTCATTTGTGGAATATAGTGAACAACATAAAAATAGATCCAGAGGCAGAGAAGCATTGAACTGACAAACCTCAGAGGGAAGGCTGGGGAGAGTGGGGTAGTGGGGGTGGGGAATAAAAGATCGACCAAAGGACTTGTATACATGCATGTAAGCATTACCAATGAAGACAGTCACTAGGGGGTGAAGGCATGTGCTGGGGGTGGGGAGTGGGGGGAGTGACCAGAGAGGTCAATGGAGGGAAAAACATAATATTGTAGTAGCTATGTATGGGCCAGGGGGGTCCTTGAAATATTAGGGGGACCACTCTGTAAAGCAAGCATGTCAAACTTGTGGCCCAATGAATATTTTTGCGGCCCAGCCAATACAATGGTATATAAGAAACGTTTTAATAAAAATTTTATAACTTAATTTTTACAATATCCTGTTATACATAATTATTACAACGTTCAGTAATAACTGATTACTATAATTGTATTGCATTCATTTCCCTTATGCACCTTACACACAGGTGCACCATTTCTCCCCACTAATACACTAGCAGTGAATATTTTAGTTGCTAAAATTTGTCCAGGCCTGCAGGGAAGGGCAGTTAGGATGACCAGGCCTGCAAGACAGGGCAGTTGGGGGTGATCAGACCTGCAGGGGAGGGCAGTTAGGAGTGACCAGGCTGGTAAAGGAGGGAAGTTAGGGGCAACTGGGCCAGCAGGGCAGGGCAGTTGGGGGTGACTAGGGCTGCAGGGGAGGGAAGTTAGGGGCAGTTGGACCCACAGGGGAGGGCAGTTGGGGGCAACTAGGCCAACAGGGGAGGACGGTTAGAGGCAATCAGGCTGGGGAGATCAGGCTGGCAGGGGAGGGCAGTTAGGAGTGACCAGGCCAGCAGGAGAGGGAAGTTAGGGGCAATCAGGCTGGCAGGGGAGCAGTTAGGCACCAATCAGGCTGGCAAGGGAATGGTTAGGGGCTGATCAGGCTGGCAGGCAGAAGCGATTAGGAGCAATCAGGCAGGTAGGCAGGCAGGCAGTTGGGAGCCAGCATTCCTGGACATTTAGGCTGTCAGACATCCCTCGAGGGGTCCCAAATTGGAGAGGGTGCAGGCTGGGCTGAGGGACACCTTTTTCGCCCCCTGCACAAATTTGGTGCACTGGGCCTGAATTATAGTTCACATTCAGAATAATACTGAATGTGAACTATAATGGGGGGAAAAGATGGAAAATTATATGTTATATGTTTTTCATCATCATAATCATAAAAAAATTAAAAAGTAAAAAAAAAAGGAGACATGCTTAACTGGACCATATAGTAATTCTATGCTTAACATTTTGAGGAACTGTCAAACTGTTTTCTATAGCAGCTGCATCATTTGCCCTTTCAATTCTCTTTTCAGTGAGGGCCTTAGCCACCAGACTTTGTGGATCAGCAGAATCTGATCCTTCCTTGGCTTTCAAGCAGGAACTATTTCTATAAGGAGAAGAACGGAACCTAGCTACAGGCAATCAGGAAAACCAGCTGGTTAGGGCTTCTTGTCCCCTTCTGCTCTGGGACTTCTTGCTTTCTTAGGGCTCAGCGCCTCAGCTATGGCCCATTAGAAGGACTCTTGTCCACATGCTCAGAGGCCTTCCCTCCTCCTGCACCCACCTGCTTTTCAGGTTAGTAAATATCTTCGAACCTCCCTCTCAACACCACTGTGTTCCCTTCTTGTGTCTCCCAAAACTTACGGACCTAGAGACCCCTATTTTTTTCACCCAGGGGTTTGCCAAAACTGGCTTGCACTGACCTAGGAGGACATCTCTCCCCAACTCCACTTTCAGTAACATCAGGCCATAAGCTTGAAATTGGCCATGTTAGGAGTATTTACACCACAGGAATTAGCAAACCCTACGAATCAGAGCTTTCTCCACAGAACCAGTTGTTAAACATTTACCAGCACATCACTGGTCCCATCTTACCTGTCTGTCAACCAAGACCTACTAAAGTGTTTGCTGATAACTGGTGGTTGGTATCAGCTGTTTTTATGTAGAGTTCCTGAGTCCCCTCCCCAGCAGGTCAGCCTGGCCCCAGGGGGGCAAAGCCAGCCAGGTGGTAGCAGATATAAGCTAGGCCATCATGGCCTGAATTGTTAAGGACAAGGGGATATGGGCAGAGCATAGTCAATTTCTGCTACACACACATACACACACACACACACACGCTCCTGGTTTCATTTAATACTAGTGAGTTTATTTCAGTGTACATTGGAAAAATACAGCCAGTACACTAAAGCTATGATTTCATGGATATTTTTGGGTAAAGTCAATTTAAAAAGATTAAGTGTATAATTGGGTGAAGAGCAGAAAGATAAAAATTACAGAGATGATAGGAGAATGAGGTTTGATTATTGGTGATGGGGTCCTAGTGAAGACTTTTAGGCAAGGGGGTGACCTGGACTGGATTGCACTGTAAGACAAGCTTTCTTGTATTTGTGTGCAGAAAAATTGGAAGGAGATAAGTTGGGAGGCAGTGTAATGGAGTTGAGAAGGAACAGACAGATCCAGGAGATGTTAAATAGGGAGAATCAACAAAAGTAGAGATATTATTAGATATGGAGAAGGGTACAGTGGTGCCTTCTCTGAACAGTAAGGTACAAACATACTCTCCACCTCCTCTCATCATTTTCTGGAATTCAGCCACATTCTGCTGCTCACCAGACTCATGTTCTCCCCCTTGGCCAGGAATGCTCTTGACCCTTGATCCCCTTGGAGCTTTCGCCTGTCCTCTGATGCTTCCCTGATCTCTCACACAGAGTCTTCCCTTCCACTTCCAGAGCCCTTTGCACCTGCCAGTTGCCTGGCACCAGCAATGAGTCCCCCTCTTAACATTTATTTTAGGCCATTCACTGTGCACGGAACTTAATGTACACAGTTCACTTTCCCCATGAAACACCACTGGGAAGCAGAGGGTTTCACTCCACTTCACAAGTGACAAAACTGAGGCTGATACAGTTGGACCTGAACCCAGGCCTAAGCCTCTAAAGGCCATGATCTTAATCACTGTGATCCCGATGCCTTATTGTCCTATATTGAAATCATTTGTTTATGTTTGTCTTTCCAGTGGACTCTGAGCCCTAATGGCCTTGAGTCTGAAATGGGCCCTTCCCTAGATTCCTGAATCTCAGGGCTGGCTAGGACTTCTTTATTTGAAGCTTGAATTTCCTACTCGGAGCTCCGCCAACAAGTGCTTACATGCCCCTGCTTGATAGGGATCTAACTATCATCTAAATGGTCAGACCTATCTCTGGATGGCTTCACCCACCGTGAATGTCTTCCTCCTTTGAGCTTTACCTCTTGACCTCTGTTTCTGCTTCATTTGGAGCTCCTTCTCTCCCCTGGACCACACTCCTCTCAGGACAATGCTTACGGGGTGTGGTAAAGTTTATCTTGACAATAGACTTACTGTGCTCTCCCACAGAGGACAGCTGCCACCCCTGCATCTGCATCTGTCAAGGTCTGCCAATTGCCGTGAAGCCAACTTCTCAGAAGTCTTTATGAACCTCTGGCTCCTGAATTTCCAAGCCAAACAAAGTGAAGCCAACTTCTCAGAAGTCTTTATGAACCTCTGGCTCCTGAATTTCCAAGCCAAACAAAGATGAGATGTATGGGAGGCCCCCTCCTCTGCCTGGGAGCCCCCTCCCACTCTTCCTGCCACCTAGATCTGGTAAGTGAAGGGAAACATTTCTGCACTTGGTGTTGGGGCTGCCCCTTTGGAACCACCAGGGAAATGGTTCCCAGGACCATCTCCTGTTCCCAGTCTTCTGGGACTGTGTGTTGTATGTGTTTGATAGCAAAGAGGGACAGTACCATGGATAGCAGAGATACCCTCAGCCTGCTCTCCTGAGTCCTCTAAGCTCCCATCCCAGTGCCTACCCATATTTATGGTGCCCTCCTGCCGTCCTCCCTGCTTTAAATCCCAGATACTACATCTCCAGCCACCTTTACTTAGGAGGCGGGGGCAGGAATCCTGGAGGGCGCTAATGGAGCCTGAGTAAAGGTGGCAGTGAGGGTCAACAGGAAGGGGTGGACTTGAGAACTATTGAGGAAGGCCTCCAATATGCTGGAATTGACACTACACAACAGAGTAGGCCTGCCTGGTGTCATGGCAAGGGTACAAATTCTTTACCAGGAAGATGCTGGACCAGCCATCTTGCATTGTGGCTTTGAGGTCTTGGACAAGTCATTTAATGTCTCTGATTCCCAGTTTCATCACCTGTGAAGTAGGGATAATAAGAAGATCAAATAAGAGTTTAGAGGGGCCAAATGGGGCTTTAAGGGAATAGCTGGAGGGATACAGGTCTGATCTGGTGATGATTTGTCAGTTCATTAAAGGCAGGTCTTGAATGGAGTCCTCATTGAAGATCAAGACCCCCCTCCCACACAAACACACACCGTCCTGGGATTGGCCTTTCACACCCGCATCTTACAGCAAGTGGGCTGGGATTCAGAGAAGCTAAACACCTGGCCTGTCTCCATCAAGTGAACAAATAGAGGCAGAGCTCAAACTCTGGACAGTCTTTAGGGGTTTTGTTCTAACATTTGGATCCTCAGAACTTTCTCTACAGACCTGTCTGCTACATACTAGAAAGCTCTGTAAGAATCCCCCCCTATTCTGAATTCAACAGTCCCAAATAGCTTTCACCCAGACCTGCTTTCCCTAGTGGATTTTTCTCTTCTTTGAATGGTCCCACCTGCACATACACAACCAAGTTTGAAACCTGAGTGTGATCCTGGTCACCTCCCGCAGCTTCCTCGGCCAACAAGGCATTAACTCTTGGCAAATTCACTTCCTGAGTAGTTCTCAAATCATCCTCTCTTTCCAATTCTTACTCCCTCCACTTCTTCTTCCTAGAATCCTATCACAGCCTTCACACAGTCCCTCCACCCTGGTTATCCACAGCCAGAATGACTTCTGTAAAATTCCAGAGCTGACCCAAGTTATTCCCAAAGCTCCACTTGGCCCCTTGAATTCATACTGTGGCTTTCAGAACCTGGAACATGCTTCTCTATGAGGTCTCCATTCCTACCCCTCAGACCTCCCTACCTCCATCAATCTTGCTCAGCTCAGGAGTCACCTCTTCCAAGAAGTTTTCACTGGCTTATTCAGCTCTCCAGTGTGACACCTAAGCTGTATCATAATTGCCTAACCTGTGTCCTAACAGCTCAATGTGAGTTCCCAAAGGCAGGAGTGATATAAGTAATAGTACTTCTCCCTGGGCACCTGATGGGAGTGGGCAGGGAGATGAGCCTCCAGGATTTACTAAGGAGTGAAGTCAGGAGGAGCTGGCCCTGTGATACTGAAGAAATCATCTCAACTTCCTCACCCATAAAACTAGGAAGAAAATTCAGAATCAACAATCATTTATTGAGCACCAAATGTATAGTAGGTACCATTGAGGGCATACAGCATGGGCAAAAGTAGGTATTCAGTTGTTTATATGGAAAATACAAAAATCCTATATAATAAAGGCCCAATATGCTAAGTGTCCATTCATCCAGTCAGACGTTCCACCAATCAAAGTGTAAGCCTATCCAATAAAAGAATAACATGCAAATTGACCATACCTCTGCTACACACACCAGCCAATAGGAGCAAGTATGCAAATTAACCCAACCAAGATAGCTGTGGCTATGGAGCAAGCAGGAGGCTTGGATTTCCCTGGCAATGAAGAAAGCCAAGCTTCCTCACACACTCTGGTGGGCCCTGGACTCCACTTAAGGCTACAAAGTTTCAATTATAGAAGATAAATAAATCCCAACAAATATGGCTGTGAACAGGAGGCTTGGGTTTCCCTAGTGATGGAGGAAACCAAGCTTTCTGCACACTCTGGCCGGCCAAAGCCTCTGCTCAAGGCTACAAAGTTTCAATTATAGAAGATAAATAAATCCCAACAAAAATGGCTGTGGCCATGGAGTGAGCAGAAGGCTTGGGTTTCTCCAGTGATGGAGGAAGCCAAGTTCCTGGCCTTCCCTGGTCTCTGCTGAAGGCTACAAAGTTTCAACTATAGAAGATAAATAAATCCCAGATACCAGGCCTCCACTTGGGTTTCTGGAGGGCATAGTCAGCCTGCAAACCACCACAGGCCCCTCTCCCAGGCTGTCCCATGCCCCAAGGGAACTCCAACCTGGTTCAGGACACCCTTCAAGGCAAACCAGCTGGTCCCCTCCTGTGCACCAGGCCTCTGTTCTATCTAATAAAAGAGTAATATGCAAATTGACTGTAACTCCAACACACAAGATGACTGCCCCCGTGTGTTCAAAGATGGCTGCCACAAGATGACCAGCAGGGGAGGGCAGTTGGGAAGGACTAGGCCTACAAGGGAGGGCAGTTGGGGGCAATCAAGTCTGCAGGGGAGGGTAGTTAGGGGTGACCAGGCCAGCAGAGGAGGGAAGTTGGGGGCAATCGGGCCTGTAGGGAAGGGCAGTTGTGGGGGACCCAGGCCTGCAGGGGAGAGCAGTTAGAGGCAATCAGATTGGCAGGGGAGCAGCTAGTCATCAATCAGGCTGGCAGGGGAGTGGTTAGGGGGTAATCAGGCTGGCAGGCAGAAGCGGTTAGGGGCAATCAGAAAGACAGGCAGGTGAGCTGTTGGGAGCTAGCACTACTGGATTGTGAGAGGGATGTCTGACTGCCCGTTTAGGCCCTATCCTACTGGTATCGAGCAGTCAGACATCCCTCAAGGGACCCCAGATTGGAGAGGGTGCAGTCTGGGCTGCGGGACACCCCTCCCATGCACGAATTTTGTGCACCAGGCCTCTAGTATGCTAATGATAAGCTAAGGTTGCTCAACTGCCTGCTCTGACATGCACTGACCACAAGGGGGCAGACAATTGATCGGTCGACCAGCCACTATGACATGCACTGACCAGTAGGTTAGCTTGCTGCTGGGGTCTGGCCAATTGGGACTGAGCGAGAAGGGTCAGACATGCCCTGGAGCCTTCCTGTGGTCCTTCCCTAGCCCCGATCGTACACTGGTGAGATCCCTAGGCTTGGCTTGTGCCCTCTCGAAATCTGGGACCCCTTGTGGGATATCAGAGAGCTGGTTTTGGCCAGATCCCACAGGCCAGGCCAAAGGACCCCACTCGTGCACAAATTCATGCACCTGGCCTCTAGTAAATCTATATAAATAAAAATGTATGTGTTCGTTTGTTCAAAATCTTAAATCTCTGAAAGTTCTTCACCGATTGCTTTGAAATTTTGACACAACGTTGCATTCAAATATGCATGTGTTTTTATATCCCTTATACCTACTATTATATAGATGTCACACCTGAGACAGGTAAAAACATGCTTTTTTTTTTTAAAACAGCGCCATCAGTTGGACATAAAAGCAACATACGCTATACTAAATATTTTATGATTCCATTTCAATGTTGATAATGATTGAAGATTTGTGCTTAGAAATCTCGAACAAAGTTCTCAATCAATTGGGAATGCCATCACTGAATCGATTTGCTGCTGCTTCGTTCGATGTAGAATTGTGTCGTGAACAAAATTACAACACGGGTGATCTTTTGTCGTATGTGCAATCAAATATTCTTGAGCAAAAAGGCATTTACAATCAAATAATAATGCAAATAATAATATAAACTGTCAATAAAGGGATTGGAGAAATCTTCTTCTTTGATGTGCCAGGAGGAACTGGTAAAATGTTCCTAATTAGATTGATTCTGGCAGCAATTGGATCCCAAAATGACAGAGCCTTAGCTCTTGCATCGTCTGCAATAGCTGCGTCATTGCTACCAGGTGGAAGAACTGCTCATTCCTCTTTCAAATGGCCATTGAACATGCAATTCATTGAAACTCCCCCATGCAACATTTCCACAGCATCCAGCATGGCAAAAATATTGCAGAAATGCAAACTTATTGTTTGGGATGAATGCACAATGGCGCACAAAAAATCGCTTGAGGCTCTTGATTGATCATTGCAAGATTTGTGTAGAAACATCAGACCATTTGGGAATGCATTAATATTGCTTGCAGGAGATTTCAGGTAAACATTATCTGTAATTTCTTGATCGACACCAGCGGACGAAATAAATGCTTACCTGAAATACTCTACTTTGTGGCGACACATAAAGACGTTAAAATTAAAGACGTCCAGCTGCAAAATGATCGATCAGCTGAGGTATTCTCACATCAATTGCTGGAAATTGGGAATGGAAAGGTGCCAATTGATCTGACCTCAGAATGAATTTCATTGCCTCATAACTTCTGCAATTTAGTGACATCAAAAGAAGAATTGGTTGAAAAAGTATTTCCTAATATTCAAACCAATTATAAGATTCATGATTGACTGAGTGAATGAGCTATTCTTACAGCCAAGAACAAAGACGTCTACGAACTTAACAATATTATTCAGTCTAACATTCAAAGTGAGGCAGTCACATACAAGTCTGTCGACACTGTTGTGGAAGCAGATGAAGTGGTTACTTACCCAATAGAATTTTTGAATTCACTCCATCTGCCAGGAATGCCACCACATGTACTGCAATTGAAAATTGGCGTGCAGCCGAAGCCTGTTTGGCTCAGTGGTAGAGCGTCGGTCTGCAGACTGAAGGGTCCCAGGTTTGATTCCGATCAAGGGCATGTACATTGGTTGCGGGCACATCCCCAGTGGGGGTGTGCAGGAGGCGGCTGGTCGATGTTTCTCTCTCATTGGCGTT